TGGAGAAGTGAGCATGTCTGTAAATCTCTCCAGCACTCAGGACATTTGACAATGTTTGTGCTGAAAGAGCGTAGGAGTGTTTGTTATTTTCAAGCACTTGCCATTTGGAGACTTAAAGCTGCTTTCCATCCTCCTGTAGTGTAGGTTGTGACGTTATTTATTTCAAAATAATGTATTTTTCTCTGCTTTAGGAAACAGGATTGTCAGCAAGCTGAAGGCTATCAGCAATGTTTGATCTTCTCTATTTTATTTATTCTCTGTTGTCTTTTGGCACTCCCAAAATTTGAATAAATCAATCTGCCATGTGGTGGATTCTGGGGATGGTTGGACATAAATGTGTATGTGTGTACCTTATTTAAGGACACATTTGTACCCAGAAGTGAGCTAGACCTGCCAAAAAAAAAATCCATAAACCTATTTTTGGGGACTTCTTTATTTGTAAAAAGACATAAGTAATAAAGATTTTTTTTTTAAACTGTGAAAATGCAGAAAGTTTTCTGTTACGTAGTACAGTATTTGTAGCTATGGCTGCTTATAGAAAAACAGCAGTCTATGCAATGTCAAGTCTATGTCATGTCTCCATTTAGATAGCTATGCAAATGTATGTGTGTGTTTGTGTCTGCATTACATGTTTATGTATTTGTGTGTGTATATATATATATATATATATATATATATATATATATATTCAGCTTTGCATAAAATAAATTATATTTTAAATCATATAATATTTCACAATATCACCAATATTGCCCCTTTCATTTATATGCATATATTTACGTACATACACACCCACACACACACGCACACACACACCCACACACACACACATAGACCAGTGGTTAAGAAACCAATTACCAGCAAACACTGTTCCCATGAGCCACAACAATAAACTCAAGAGAAAAAAACTAAACATCCAGCTGGAGAAGAATAGTTGTTTGAATCCATCCATATGAAAGAGAGACAATCGCTCACTATCGCACAGAAGATCAATACATCTCCCCATCAATCTCAGCATAAATGAATTTGGAAAGTTTCTTGGGTTCGTAATTGCTATAAGACTCACTTTATTCAATAGTAACGGCAGTGCAGCCATAAACTAAAACAGGTCTTCTAAATTGCATTTGCATCAACTAACCACAGCAGACATGCTGTAAACATCATCACCAAATGGAGAACGAACCACTTACACTGTGTGTGTTTTTATTTTATTTATTTATTTATTTTTGTTAAGATTATTCTTTATTAGATTTATGTTTATAGAATATGATATTGTGTTGGCAGAAGGCAAGAATGGAAAATAACCAGTGTGCTTGAGGAATGAGAGAAATGGAGACGGTGAGAGAGAAAAGTATGGGCTGAGTTGTATTCAGCTTTCACTCAGGTGGGTTTTATGGGTCTAGTACATACTATCAATGTCTGGATGACAGTCACACTTTATTAATCTCTTCAAGAGACCCTCACTCGTTCTCTCACATGCTTTCTCTGTGTGTATCTTTTCTAGTCTGTCATAGTTACACTCTGCTTAGTTCCTGTTTCTATGAAGCCCCTCCTTCTGGAAAGCACAATGTGCTCTGATTGGTCGGTTGGACCAGTGTATTGTAATTGGTGAACCGCATAATGTTTTGAAATAATATCATGCCTCTTACCATAACTTAGAGTTTCAACACACTACTAATACAACTCAACAAGGTCTCTGCCTCTTGTTTCCCCCCCCCCCTTCGGTGGGAATTGTTTAAATGAGGAATAATGTGACGCAACGCGACTACAGTTGATGAGCTCAGAAATGGTTTCAGGGAGTTTTTTTTCTTCTTCTAACTTTCTTTACTATTTTTTTCTTGTTCAAATAGCAACATTGCACACCATAAACTGTAAAAATGCATAGGCTAATATACTGTAAGGTCCTCTTTAAATTAATTCAAGGTAGCAATGTGTTGCATGTTCTGCAGGCTTGTGGTTTCAGAGAAGTTCACAATCAATGAATACTACACATTTATTCCAATAGATGTAGGCCTATAAATTACATAATTATTCAATTCAGTTTTAAGCAGAAATAATTAAAAACTTAGTGTACTTTAGTCGTATAGTTTTCTTGGTTCAGAAACTGTTGATTTCTGTCTTGTCTTTCTTGCTTTTTCTCACTTTTGTGTGTTTGGCTGGGAGTGTGACTGTGATTAATGTTGAAGTAGTCGTCCTGTTGAGGACCAGATGCAGGAAAGAAGAAGAGGGGAGACACTTGGTTGGTGTGAGATGAGTAGAAGGGGGAAGAGGGGGATGATGAGAGGAGAGCAGCCACAAATCTTTGTCAGGATGGAGAATTCCTGCCAGCTGCGAGGCGGAAACCACAGGAAAACCTCTCGCTTGTGTTTTGGCAGGCACACGACACGACACACACACACACACAAACACACATTTGTCCACTGTTGTGTAATAAATATTCCGACTTTGAGCAGTATTAGATCAGACATTTACTCACAAGTTGCCCTGCAGGAAAGCAATAAATGGCTAAATGGATGAACACCAACCAGAGGATCGTGCTGTCAGATAGGGGGGTTTTAATCAAATCAAGTTGTTCCTGACCAGGCTCCTTAATGCGAAATACATATATTTATTTTATAGAATACGCATAATAATAATTCTGTATTTTATAATCTTACAATTTATTTTTATTTTACTTATGTCAAATTATGTTGTATTATTATTATCATCATTACTGTAATTTATAATTGTTATATTTGTCATATTTATACATTTTATATGTGATATTTGTACACATAATACTACACTTTATATCATTATTATTTATTTATTTTTTAAAATGTGGCGGCGCAGTGGATGTACAGGAAAAATACCAGGAAGAATCAGCAGCTGTGTGTGTGTGTGCTTGAGGATTTATAAGGAAGGGAATTGGAGCTTCTGCTGTGCTTTAGATAAGAAAATTAAAAATTGATCACAATTTTCTCTCTCTCTCTCTCACACACACACACACACACACGCACACACACACACACACACACACACACACAGTGAAGGCTGGGAATCTCAATTTTGCTACACAATGTGTGGAGTGGTAATAACTGCTTTGTGTGTGTGTGTGTGTGTGGGTTGTTTAGAAGGTGGATCCTCTCTTAACATGGGGATACAAAAACTGCAGAAAAGCAATTTCACCTCTCAGCCTCACCGCAGCTGTGTGTGTGTTTGAGAGAGAGAGAGAGAGAGAGAGAGAGAGAGAGAGAGAGAGAGAGAGACTCAAAGGCCTTGATTCAGAGCAGGGTGACACTTTGCTTGAGTCACCATTTTAAAAAGCATCAGATGGAAGTCTGGATGATGTGTAGAGACGGACTGAGATAGCTAGACAAGATGTTATTTGAAAACCTTGTGTCCATGTGTGTTGAAGGGTCATATAAGGCTGTCTTATTTGCTATATTCATAGATGTAATTTGCAGGTGGGACATGTCCCCACCATTTTTAGCCAGAATTGATCTTCTCCCCACCGTTTTTTTTTTTTTTTTTAAACATCTTGTAGTGCGACTGTACCTAACAGTGTTGTAGTCGAGACCACCTCACTCGAGTCCGAGTCGACACCGAGACCAGAGAGAGTCGAGTCCGAGTCAAGACCGAGTCCATAGAGAGTCGAGTCCGAGACCAGAGACGTCGAGTCTGAGTCGAGACCGAGATCAGTGAGGGTTGATTACCTAATTTACTTTTATTTACTTAGAGAAATCCTTTTTTTTTTTTTTTTACTGAATTTACTTAGAGTTTTAAAAATATAATCAGTTTAGGGTAAAAAGGCCAAATAGTAGGTGGTGTTAAAAGTAATTTTATTACAATTTGTCATGCGCAGTTGCGCACTAGAAAATCACCAATCACTGGGCGTGTCAATCAATTTAAAGAAATATTTTATTCACATACATTATTAATCATGAAAAATATTTTTAATTGAACTCGAGTGGACTCGGGAAAAATTCCGAGTCCTAAAAAAAAAATGTTCGAGTACGAGTCAATTCCGAGTCCAAATGGACACGAGTCCATGACAAGACCAAGACCATTAAAATATGGTCTCGAGACCGAGTCCGAGTCTCGAGTACTACAACACTGGTACCTAATATATAAATATCTCCAGATGACCAGAGTGTTAATTTAGTTTGTTTGTGTTAAATAAAAGGTGATCCAGTGCTGGAATGTGTTGTTTTTTAAATCGTGTCGAGTCCGATGTTCTCATGTGTCTTCACAGAGACGCTCTCTTCTATGTATCGCTGTTGCGGGCTTGCGGCAACTCTGTTCATTGAGGTGAAATCACAAAACAAAATGCACACAAACATGTCAATGCTCCTTGATTTTAGTAGTAATATATATATATATATATATATATATATATATATATATATGTTGGGACACCCAAACATTGGAAAAAGTAATAGAAATTGGTTTACCTGTTTTTATGTGTGTATTTGTGTGTGACCATCCATAAATGTGTGCATGTGTGTCATTTAGCAGGTGCGGGTGTCTAGTCGCTTGTTTGACATCCGTATGCTCACTGCAGTGTATTCACCCGTGAAAACAGGCTGTGTGTGTGTGTGTGTGTGTGTGATGGGACAACAGCTGAGCGTACAGTTGTAGCGCTTTGACAAAGCAATGGAGAACAGGAAGAAATGAGGGAGAGCGAGAGGAATGAAATGGGCAGTGGGTTAATTTGGAGGCTGTGCATGTTCACTCAGGTGCGTCTTCCTTACAGACGGAGAGGCGAGAGACACACTGTAGCCAATCAGAACGCTTGAACTGAGAAATGGGCTTCCATTGCAAAGGGCACATTCTCACGAAGCTATTAAACAAGTCCAATCACCATCTCGTCTGACTCTTTCAACATGTGTGTGTGTGCTCCATTTCTGAAAGTGGCAGATCAATTCACTAGCAGTCCACACAGCAGGGAAGATGGCTGTTTGGAATGATTTTTGTATTCACTTGGATTTCTTCTCTCTCCCTCTCTCTCTCTCTTGCAGCTCCATCCATTGTTCCCATAATGCATCAGGTCAGTTCTACGATGAAAAGTATCACGTTGTCATGGCCACAGCCTGAACAGCCAAATGGAATTATTCTCGATTACGAGCTGCGCTACTATGAGAAGGTAAGGTGTGTGTGTGTGTGTGTCGTGTGTATGTCAACGCACGTGTGTGTGTGTGTGTGTGTGTGTGTGTGTGTGTGTGTGGACTGGGAAACCTTACATTATGGGGACAAAATGTACCCAGTACCCACAAAGATGGCAATATCCGAAATCCTTGTCCTTCTGGACATTTTTAGTGCCCGTGAGGAAAAACAGCTTATAAATCATGTGAAGTTTTTTGAAAATGTAAAAATGCTGAAAGTTTTCTGGGACGGGTAGGTTTAGGTTTAGGGGACAGAATATAGTTTGTTAATGTTTAATGTTAAAGTCCCCATAAAACATTAATAGACAACGTGTGTGTGTGTGTGTGTGTGTGTGTGTGTTATTCCTTAACTCATATTTGATTGACATTAAAAGTTGTTTTTTTTTCAGTGAAAAACAATTCTTCATGCCTTAAAATAGCTTGAATGTAACTCTACACCCTTGCCTCATTTTTTTTATATGCGGTTCTATGAATATGTGACATCAGAAACACCAGCGTTTTCAAAACACGTTTTTGAGACTTTGGTTCACTGCAGTTTTAAAGAGAAAATCCTCAGCAATGGTGTCGACTCATGAATTTACACATGGTTTGTCTGAAAGCATATTAAAAACTCCACATAGACATATAAACAAGATTTTCACCACAGGGGTCTTTATGAATTTATGAATTTCATGCTTTTATGTTCCATTTTAGCTATGTTCTACGAAACTATGGGAGCCTACCCCTCAAATCATAGAGAAATGATTGGTTGATAATGTTGTTCAACCCTAAAATCTGATGGTTACAGCCATAAAAATGTATATATTGAAAAATAAATTATTTAAATGACACTTTCATGATGGATAATCTCTAGCCAAAAAGTCCCGCCATGCTTTTGTTTATTATTGAATATTGTGTGTTTGAAATGTGACATTATAAAAGTAAAATGGAGTGTGAAAGTTTTTGTTCAGACAGTCCATTGAAGGGATGTCTCAGTGACCCCTTTGTGATGTCATTATGATGAAGTGAGGTACAGTGGGTTGCTAGGAGACAGCATTGGCGGGCAGGTGGTCGGGTTCAGCAGTTTCCCAGGCCGGTCCCTGCAGAGAGATGCTGAAACACAGACCCTCTCACACCAATTACACCTAATGATTCCAGAGCATCCTGTGCTGACACACACACGCTCTACAGCCGTCACCCCTTTTACAGACATCATGGAAGAGCATGACGGACATGCACAATCACAGACATATACACAGCTGTTGTGCCTATATTCCTAGTCTGATGTTTCTTTGAAATGTTAATAAACTCCTAATTATTGCTTATTAAAAGCTAGTATGTAATTGTTAAGTTTAGATATTGGATAGGATTAAGGGATGTAGAATATGGTCATGCAGAATAAGGCATTAATATGTGCTCTATAACTACTAATAAACAGCAAATATCCAAGTGATATTTGCGCTAATAAGCAACTAGTTAATAGTGAGAATTGGACCCTAAACTAAAGTGTTACCGAAATGTTCTACACACCACTTTCATACAAAAACATTTTGATGACAGCATTTGTTTTAAATACAACAGCTGTGTCTAAAATTTCAGCTTTTCTGTGGTCTGTGTGTCTGTAAGAAAAAAAAAATGTAAATGTAATGGGATAGTTTGATAAATGAATCATATTGAACAGCCATAACAGTACTCATTACTTATGTTCAGAACATAAAACACAAGTTACCTTCTGCTGTTGTACATGAATCTCTGGGCATAGTTTAATCTAACTGTCAAATGCATAGACGGATTGTTTGATTTGTGTAGTGAGTTTGATGTTTTTTTTTTCTCATGGGTTTAGTATTTTGACTTTAAAATCGAACTTGTTTTAGTTGATTAGTTGCATCATCACACGTGTAGTATCATGAATCATGAATACAATCATCAATACACAATAAGCCTCAACCTCAAGTATCAACCAAATACAAAAAGCACAATAATTGTTGGGTGTTGTCACACCTGGCAGGTTTGGTTTAATTACAATGAACCCTAGTGTGATTGCTCTGTTAGTCCGATTCATTTGAATAAGTGTGACATCAGAACGCTGACATCAGATCCCTGGGTAACACTTTAGAATACGCGTTCCTTGTTAATGAATAACTACACAAGAACTAATGAGTAACACAATACACAATCTAGTAACTATATAACTAACTAAGAAACTTCCGATTAACGAACTAAGTAAGTAATAGCGCAGACGAAAGTGGTAGTTCACTATTAAGTAATCAATAACTACTATTTTTTTAATACTTCCCAGAGAACTAACTGAAAAGTTTTATTAATAATCTAGTAACTACTAGTATAACTACTATTAACTTTAAAAGAAATCTCTTATTAACGAATTAGTAAGTAATAGCTCACAGATGAAAGTGCTTACTAGATACTTCTGTGGGAATTTACTTAATATTTTCATTCGTATTATAAAGTGGAAGATCATTGGCAACTAACTAGAATACTCAAGTGTTACTAAAGACATTTTCTAAAAGTATACTAAAGTTCACCAAAAATCTCAAACGTTTGGCACAAATCATGACTAAATCATATAGTAACACTTGAGTAATTACTAGTTAGTTCCAATGATCTTCACATTTATAATACGGATCCAAATAATTAGTAAGTTATATAGCTCATAAGATGAAAGTGTTACTAGATTTTTCTGTGGGAATTACTAATTATTTGGAATCCGTATTATTTAAAGTGAAGATCATTGGAACTAACTAGTAATTACTTCAAGTGTTACTACATGATCTAGTCAATGATTTTGTGCAAACGTTCTTTGGTGAACTTTAGTATACTTTTAAAAAAGTCTTTAGCTAACACTTGAGTAATTACTAGTTAGTTCCAAATGATCTTCACTTTATAATACAAATCCAAATAATTAGTAATTCCCACAGAAGTATCTAGTAACACTTTTCATCAGCTGAGCTATTACTTACTAATTCGTTAATAAGAATTTCTTTTAGTTAATAGTAGTTACTAGATTCTTAATAAACTTTTTTCAGTAGTTCTCTGCGGAAGTGCTTAAAAAAATAGTAGTTATTGATTAACTTAATAGTGAAATACCACTTTCGTCTGTGCGCTATTACTTACTAGTTCGTTAATCAGAGTTTCTTGTTAGTTAACATTAGTTACTAGATTGTTAATATTGTGTTACTCATTAGTTCTTGTGTAGTTATTCATTAACGAAGGAACCGTATTCTAAAGTGTTACGGGTCTTGGTCCACTTTCAAATTAACTCGGTTCAAATGAAATATAAACGCAACATGAACTAAAAACAGAACATGATGTACACAAGATGTAACCCTAAATAGGTCAGAATGCTCACACATACTGTTTTTTTTTCTCGTCATAGTCATGATGTTGCCCATCACAGTTCGGTACCGGCATCAGAACCACGTCTCCTCATGAGAGATCTGCGTTTGTGTCTATGACATAGGAATTCCTGCCGCTGTTTTGACTCTTTAAAGGGATGGTAAAGCACATTTTTTTCAAAGGCTTGATTGTGTTTTTGGGTGCACTGTAACATGTATTCATGCTTGGTTTAAAAAAAAGTCATTATTTTTCATATATTCTGCCTTTGCTCTGTCCCTCCTTGTAAAAAACGGTCTGATGGTTTTCGCTTTCCATGAAACCAGTCCCTCAAAAATCCGCAATGGGCTCAGATTGGTTCGCTCACCCAGTGTGTTGTGATTCACTCAGATCTCTCTATGTGGGTCTGAATTCGCTAACCGCCTAAAGCGCCACACCCCTTACATTTACCGGTAGTTTGTGTATAATAAACAATGGCGTCAATAAAGCCATACCAATTTGAGCCGGAATTGAACCCAGAAAATGTTTGTGATGATGATCGAGCAGAACCTGTTCAAGAACATCTGTTAAACAACCTTTCAGAATAATTTGTAGATACTTTATACTTTTTAGATGCTGTCATGACTGACTGTATGCCACCGTTTTTAGAGCGATTGTCAACTATCTGTCGCCAGAAATAATAACTAATAATTATCAAAACGACTAATAACTATTAATTATCACGAAACATTGGCTTTACTACAGTACAGTAGCCAAATCAAGCACAGAACCATGTTTAGCATGCCTTTAGGTAAACATATACATAAAAGCTATAATGTTAATCAAAGAATAATTTACGCTAATTCCAAGTTCACTGATGAGATTTTTAAAAAATAGTTTGTAACGTTAGTCGGATAACGTTGAATGAGCATTTAACAAACTGGTTTGCCGAGCCAGACAGCTTTATCATTTGTTTACTATTACAGGAAAACACACAGACGAAAAAGAAATCATACCTACAGGTTGTGGCCCATGTTACTGAACCCTAAACCAACTTTTTTTAGTTAATGATCTGTAAGAATGGATCTTTATTAATACCAGTCATTGATTCAAGTAACTTTTTTGACATTTGTTTATAAAGTATTTTATTTCTACAATATATGGTGTAAAAGCGTCTTAGTGCTGCCTTCTTCAGGTTGAACGGTGGCTACTGCAGTTGAATTTTCCTATTGGATGTTCCGCACTTCGTGACGTACGCAGGTTTCAGCTCACCACGCGAGCTACGCCCTTGGCAGTATAAAAACCATGTTGCGTCGTCAAAACCACTGTAGGGAGTCAGGAATTGGAATTAAGAGAATTGAAAATGATCAGGATAGAGTGTTTTAGCGTCTATTTGGTCCCCTCTATCTCCGCTGGGGTCAGCCCACTTTTTCAGCATTTTCAAATATTGCCAGTGGGTGGAGTCAGGCTCTGACCAGGGGTTTAGTTACCCTTTAAAGTTGGAACTGCTCCATCTTTCAGGACAAGCCGTTGTGCAAATCCTGCATTGAACTCGCAAAGATTGTGAAAGCTTTTCTCCGTAAAATGTGCAGCACAGAGAGCGCGAGATTTGGTTAACAATTATGAGGGACCGAGTAAACATTAAAATGTAACCACTGAACCCTAACTCCCG